ACATAGATAGAATAGATGAGTGCTTCCAAATATCTAGACCAAAATATGAACTCACTTATATTATTCTAGCAATCAATAACAACTCCTTTTCTTTTGAAACTGTTTACTTATTTCTCCTGATGGAGAAAGAAACTTGTGATAAAGATGAAACTAGTTGGAATATGCATCCAATAACCAACTGCATCATGAGTCGATTTGCTTATACTGTTGGTATACCATCCTGATGGTCTACGTATGTGCAGTGAATTTTGAGCATATATTCATATCAAACGATGCAAAGAATAACAATAAAAACATAAGCAGAGTTGTTCTTCTTACAGCACCCACGTCCCTCTTATCAAGCCCCATGCCAAATGCCACAGTTGCAACAACCTTTCAAAAAAACAGTGAGTTAATCTTTAGAATAACAAGATTCACATGTCATTTTTAAGGGAGAATTTCCATTTCTATGATATCACATTAAAAAAAAGTGATGCGTTCTTTTTCAAAACCATGCTGAAGGAGAATAATTTCCTTACCACTCTTATCTTGTTAGAACAGAACAATTCCTGCGTACGGTTTCGATCTTTTGCAGGTAAACCACTGTGATAACTCTAAAAGAAAAGCACAATTTTTGCCCAAGTTGCCATTAAGCAAGTATACAGTTAAATCCAAGAAACTGTTCATCATGCAACTACAAGAAGAAAATAAATGAATAACTAACCTTCGCTGAGATATTGTTGTCACACAAATATTTGCTTACCAAATCAGTTTCGGACTGCAAATCATTATGACAGAATTCATTGCCAGTCAGCCATTGCAATAGACTAGGAAGCACAACCACTCTATTTTGGTTAGAGTGTCGGTGTTGAACATGTCTGGGACATGGACACACTTTGGACAGGCTACAATGAGTGTCCGATTTTTTTATTTTTAAATTTTTTCTTGGACACGTTTTGGATACTTTGAGACACGTGACCGACACACTCAGGGCATGTTAGGGACACGCGTCTGACACGCTGAAGGATGTGTTTTGAGAAATTTTTTAACTTGTCAAGTAACTTTATAATTAAGGAAGTTAGTTTTGTAATTTTAAATAGATATGAGTCAAAAAAATAATATAAAAAGAGTTATAATCACTCTATGAACATAGCACATGAAAATAACATAATTTCGAACACACACAAAATTATACACTAATGGAATAAACTTTCTATATGAAAGTAATGTGATGAAAAATGAGATAATTAAATTGAGACTCTTTGAAATTGATGAAAATTAGGATTACGAAGTGGAATATTTTTTTAAATAGAAATTGTAATAGTCATTAATAGTTGAATCATGAATGTTTATGATGAATGCGTATTGGTATATGTGATATTGTTTTTTTATTCAGAATACATACATACATAGATTAATTCAATGCATGCGACAGGAGCAATTGAACAAAGGGGCATAATACCTGAAATTTGCAGTAAATAATAATGCTTTGAACTTCCACAAGAGGAGAACTCTTGAGCAATATCATCAGATCCTTCATTCTGACATGGTTAAAATATTAAGATAAACTCTGTATATGCATTTAAAACACGATTGAGAAGAACAAGGGATGGGTCACCATAGATAAAAGTGATTAGCTACTCTTGCCTGTTTCCACTTGTAGACACTGACAACTGCAAGTTATCCCTCAATTGCGATGCCTGGATGAGATTCGTTGGAGGAACCTCTAACGCACACAATACATCATGCAAAGTTTTGGTTGTTGCAGTAGCAGTCATTGCAAGAATGCATTCAATGTTAAGCCTCGCACACAGAAAGGATGCCCTAAGCCTCATATATGAAGGCCGGAAATTATGTGACCTGTCAAAATATTCAAATCTGTAAATCTTGCAGAAGTTACTCCCAGTGAAGCATGAGTCCAGCTAGAATGCAGTGCATAAAAAGGAAACAAATCTGAAAGGTCAGGATGAAAATGGCACCTGCTACCACTTACCATTCAGAAATACAATGGGCTTCATCAACCACTACAAGTGATATAAGTGAAATGGCAGATATTATAGCTGTAAATTCTGCGTTCAAAAACCTCTCTGGTGAAACAAAGAGGACCTGAAATATTAAAATGAAACCTTATCCTTAGGCACTAATGTGATGGCAGTAAATGTTACTTAAAAGGTTACTTCTACGCATATAACAGGATATCACAATGAGGTCCACCAAGAGAAACCAAGAATAATCAAATATAACCTTCAGACAAGCCATGAACGCATTTCAAAGTGTTCTTGCTGGAATGGATATGAGAAACAGTTAAAGAACTCTAAACTTATTCTCTCTTTTTTTATTAATGTAAACAATCACCTTTATGGCCCCTTCTTGTAGCAGCCTCAGCGTTTCTGAAACGTCTTCAGGTGACTACCACAACAAGCAAAATCAAATTTAGCACCTATCTCTAAACGTGCACAAAACACACATACAGAGATTACCTGATTGCTGCAAAGAAGACCACCCTGAATCACAGTAGGCAGCTGCTTAAGCTGATCAATCATCAATGCCACCAAAGGGCTCACGACCAGTGTAATTCCAGGCAGAATCAGCGCGGGCAACTGATAACACAGAGACTTCCCAGCCCCTGTTGGCAAAACCAGCATCGTCGATTTCCCAGAAAGCACATTCTTGATTGCATCCAACTGTCCATCCCTAAATGAATCAAACCCATGAGTCAACTTCAACAACCTTAACAAATTCTCATTCGATGCCTCATTTCGAACACTAATCACAGCCTCTTCAATCAATTTCAATTCGAATCCCACTTTGCCCTCCTTTTGTTGCATCTCTGGAACAAAACCTTCTTCATCACACAAATTACCATTTTCTCCAGCTTTCACTTTTCTCTTGGTACTTCTTTTAAAGTATCTCCGGCCACCACCGTTTGATAATGTACTACCATAATTCCTTCTTTTGCCCTTGTATTTAAATTTGCCCCCCCGGCCATTTATGTTCAGCTTCACAAAGTTTCCCTCGTCTACACATCTAGGCTTCTTCACATGGAAGGAAGAAGGAGCATTACATGTAATCGAATTGNCTTGTATTTAAATTTGCCCCCCCGGCCATTTATGTTCAGCTTCACAAAGTTTCCCTCGTCGACACATCTAGGCTTCTTCACATGGAAGGAAGAAGGAGCATTACATGTAATCGAATTGGGATGTTTCTTCACAACTTTTGCTGAATTCCCAGAACCAACAGCTCTGGTTTCGATTTCTGGCGCGACCATGTCGGTCTCACCAACCTCAGTTTTCAGGACTGAATCAATTTCAGTGGACTCTAAGTTAAGATTCGACCTTTGGTTCTTTGAAAACGAAGCGAACTTCGATAAATATAATCGACTGGCAGGAAGAGCGTCGAAGGCATTACTGTCGGTGGAATTCTGCTGATGGGATGGACGGCAGATCTGGAATGGTAAATCGGAGGGGTTCGGAGGGGGAATTAGCTTGTGTGGTGAGTTTTGTTTAGAAAGAGGAAATGTGGTTTTGGGGTTAGAATTCGAAGGAGGGTTTTTGCGTTTCGAAGATAATTTTTTGGGTTTTAAGATTGGCCGGGAAGTGGTGGCGGTGTTGGTGGCTCTGACCTTGGATCTAGATTTGGATTGCGCGGAAGAGAGGAGAATGGGCCGTGGTGGCGGCGGCGGCGGTGGATGTAGATCGCGTGGTGGAGTTGCTGAGATGTAAGAGCCGTCGGAATCGGAATCCATAGTGTTGATAAATGGCGGAAGAAAAGTGATGTTATGCGACAGAAATCTAACAGTGAGGTGAGAGTGTGTTCTCTTCTCTGCAACGTCACTTTTTTTCCCGCCTTTTTTTTTCTAGGGCTAATTTCACTTTGTACCCCGAAAGATATTTTAATTCTCAATTTATACCCTATAAGAATTAGATTCTAAAATTACAGGCCCAATGTTATAAAAAGGTGCCCCAATTGCACCTCAATCTTAAATTTCACCTTCGAATTGAGCTACATTGCATCTACTTTATAACATTGAGAGTGAAATTTGAGAATTCAATTTTTTAAAGTTCAAATTGAGAATTGAAGTATATTTTAGGGTGCAAAGTGAGATTAACTCTTTTTTCTATGGAGGAAATTCTACATTTTGAATTAATGGCAACCCGACTGTCCGATGGAAACCCATTGAGGCCCATGAGGATGATCTGGCCCCGATGGATCTACAGGCCAGCCATTGGCCCACAAAAATCCGAAAAAACCTGAAAAGGGGAGTGAGTCTCATTGGTGACTTGCTAAGAAGGTTGTGGGCTGTTTTTAAACCAAATCCAGTCTGTTGATCTGTCAAGGCCCAAACCATGAGTTGCCAGGGTCCATGTAGGCCCGACTACTCACCCTTGTTATTAGGAGATGAAAGAAATGAAGAACACTGTTCAACCTGATGATGTGAAACCTCAAGTATTACAACTTTCCAAGGATTGTGTCCCCGCTAGACGAATGTAAAAAGACCAACAAAGAATGAAAGTTATAGAGGGTTATGGATGGTTAAGGGATAATCTAGATATTTGAAACAAAAAAAGTTATAGAGGGTTATGGATGGTTAAGGGATAATCTACATATTCGAAACAAAAAAAGTGTCGATTCTCGAATGAAACTCAATCATACCATCCCAGCCGCGTTTATGGAGATTATTTCCTTCTAGTGAATCACAAAATAGAAAGTTGGTCACTACCATGGCAAATGAACACTTTGGTAAAGCACCTCTTCTGGCCAGAAAGCATCCATAACTATCCAATTATTGTTTCATTCAACCCAGTGTGTGTATCTTCGACTCCAGTATATATGAAGCTAACTATTGTTCTTGAGGAGCTAACCGTGCTATCATTTTACACATGACCAACAGAGAACTTAGAACTGTCTCGGGCGTTTGTCGCAAGAACTAAAAAGTCACAATCTGATAATTTTTTGTATTCATAACATTCACATAATTTTCTGCATCAAACTCCTGCAATTTAACAGTCTTGCATATGAGCCTAATGAACCGTGAATGGGTGCATAAGCATGGGCCTGCCCACAGGGTTTCTAATACCATTTGCACTGTCTCTCACATAGAATGGATCATCACAAGGAAGAAGACCGGCCTTGAGCAACAGGCCCATGCCTATGACTGACCTCTTCAGCAGCACAGAAATGGCTGCGACATAGTCACTGAAGTACTGCCTTTGCCAATATGCAGTGTCCCCATCAGAGATTCCATAATTGACAGTTGCTTGGCACGTGCTGGCTTGCTGTACTCTGCCCACCATCCTCCTCCAGCACGAACCAAATTGGAGACAAGGTCTGGCAGAAATCTAGACAAAAATAACACTAAAGCTAAATGCAACAAGCAACCAATAGAGAATAAGCACACCAATATCTGCTCAGCTAATTCTCAGATGGGGAGTGAACATCAGGGGACAAACTCCAACTCACTGGGGCATATATAATAAAGAGATATCTAGGTAACACTAGGAGGTTCGGTGATCAAAAATACCCTACGCTCTGTACATTGAGCAGTCTCGCCAAATGTGATTGTAATTGGAATTTCGACTTCAAAAATGAAGGTACAGATTTTCCCATAACAACTTGGAAAAGACAAAGTTGACCAAGCATAGTGGATTGGATCTCGCAAAAATGGCTTCAAAATCTCCCTACTGCAATCAACAAAACTTCTCTTAATTCCATGGTTTTCTTCTTCTCATCTTCACCGGACACAAATCACCAAAACAAGACCAACATTTTGCTATTAAGCTCTACAGACAGCGCTGGTTTTTTGTTCAAATCAAAAAAGGCATTTGAACATCCCAGTTCATCTGTGCTTCAGAAATCCAATACAAACTCGGCCATCACAATGTACATATATGCCAATTACAGGTTCTAGTGATGTTGTGAGGCAAGCACAGCAGTAATACACTAGGAAAAACCAACCAGACATTCCAAAACTGTGTATATCTCCTCCGTTCTGGGATGCGTTTTATCCACAGAATAAAATTGGTGAACTTTGTTATCAACCTCAATCCAACTGCAACCAGGTGTCTTAGAAGCATGCTGCTCTGTCAACTTCTTCCTGACTTTCCGTACTTCATCCCACTTCCCTATCTCCCCATATACATTTGCCAACATAATCTGATAACCACCATTATTTGGATCAATCTCAATCAACTTCTTCACCGCAAATTCTGCCAAATCTGTATGTCCATGAATCTTGCACCCATTAAGCAGGGAACCCCATACAACCTCATCAGGTGGGATCCTCATTCCCTCCACAACTTCCATGGCTTCTTCAAATTGACCTGCTCGACCAAGTAGATCTATCAAACATCCATAGTGCTCTATTCGTGGCTCAATTGCGTAATCAGTAATCATCATATCAAAATATGCACGGCCTTGTTCAACCAAACCCCCATGTGTACAAGCATTTAACAAGCCAATAAAGGTAACTGCATCTGGTCTTACCTTATCTTTACACTCCATCATCTCCTCAAAAACACCAATCGATCTCTCACTTTGTCCATGCAGCCCAAAGCAATTGATCATAGAATTCCACGATGTCAAGCTTCTCTTCAGAGCCTTATCAAAAACCCTTCTTGCTTGTACTAAAGTACCACATTTCCCATACATATCAACCAAAGCATTGGATATAAACAAATCAGGATTAAGACCACATCTATATGTAAAACCATGTATACATCTGCCAAGCTGGAGAGTTCCAGTATGTCCGCAAGCGGAAAGCGCACAAACAACTGTAACCTGATTCGGCCTATTCCCCAAAACCTCCCCTTCCTCCACTACCATCCTCCTAAATAGTGAAATTGCCTCAGTAAACATCCCATTTTGCGTGCACCCTGCAATAACAGCGTTCCAAGAAGGAATATCTCTCTCTGGCATTTCCTCAAAAAGCGATACGGCATTGCCTATTTGGCCAACTCTTGTATACCCAGAAATCATAGCAGTCCACGAAACGACATTCCTTTCAGACATTTCATCAAACAACCCTCTTGCGCCATTTACATTCGAACAAAACCTCGAGTACGAGTCCAAAAGAGAAGTTTGCACAATTGGGTGTTTCCCAAAACCAGTTTTCACAATATGGACATGCACCAATTCAGTCCCATAAGACTTTACCGCTTCAGGACAAGACTTCAAAACATGCGGGTATATAAATTGGTTGGGTTTGGGGCGTCCTTTACGAACCATGTCACGGTATAAGAGAAGGGATGACTCGGGATCGGGCAAAGATGAGTAAGCGGTTATCATGGCGGTGTAGAGGTAGACATTGGGGGATTTGAGGTTGTCGAAGATGTAGCGAGCGTAGTTGAGGTTAGTGAGAGAGATGGTGCACAATCGAACGAGCTTGAATTGATAGAATTGGGTTTGGCTGTAACCAAGGGTTATGATATGGGCCTGGAGTTGCTTAAGGTGGTTGAGGTGAGTGCATTTCTCCACTATTGAGAGTACGTGTTTGTATAGGTCGGAGGAGCCAAGCATGTTCTGTTCGCCATTCAACCTTCAACTACTTCCATATATATATAGTTGTGTGTGGTTGGTCAAACAGTCATGGTTCCGTTGTTGGGCTCGGGGCTTGTTTTGATGGATTTTTAGGGGTTTGTATGAATGTATTTTTGGAAGGGATTTAGATCGGATTCTCTCAATTCTTTTAAACTCAAATTTTTTTTTATAAAGATAAAATTCATCATTAAATTCATGTTTTGTATGCTCACGGATATATTATTATTATAATAATATATTTGTATATAAATAACAATTTTATCCTGTCACTAATCAAATCCAAACATATATTTATATATACTAATTAATGTAGACGTGCGTTGCACGTGAATTATTTTGGACGATAAATGAAATTACACTCTACAATTCCAATCTAAGGGATACCTTCAAATATCCAACTTACAAACAGTAAAAAATTTATAACTCAAATCTCTAATAATGATTTACATTGCTTGCATTCTCTTACCAAAGAAATATAATCCCAAACAACACCCATTAATAAATTTGAATGACTTGAAGTCTCAACGTAAAATAATGAATAGCAATTTGAATGACTTGAAGTCTCAACTTAAAATAACAAATAGCATTGGACCTATCAAAAAAAGAATAAATTTGATGGCATAATCGAATCACATACTCACATTTAGCATAAAAATACAATGTCCTTGTTGGTAGACTGATGGAATAAGATAATATTGTAATACACTCGATTGTTTAATACTGATAACACTGTACTATGCTCGAGGAACATCAACTTCCATTTCTTTGATATAAAAGTGTGTTCCCTAGCTAGAAACAATGTTATGAACATAGAATCTGTCTAAAATAGAAGAATATCACAAGTCCAACAAAAGGTAAATTGTTAGCCCCAACAGCATAACAATAGTCCAATGCTTTGCTTGATGTGTGAGTCCCAATAGCATAACAATTCAATACTTACTCAATTATCACCCTTGGCTAAGACCTGAAATGAAACAAAAGGTAAATTGTTTTTGAACTGAAAATAAGTGTCCGTAATTACATTCATAATTAATTAAAATACAAAATAAACAATCAACCTAACTAATAATTGTGTAATTTTCAAAAATTATGNACGTAATTACATTCATAATTAAAGAAAAATACAAAATAAACAATCAACCTAACTAATAATTGTGTAATTTTCAAAAATTATGGATTTCGTGAAATTGAGAAAAAACACTTTAAGCATTGGTAGAAATCTTTTCTCATGGAAGTACTAAGCATTTATATGTAGATCAATAGAAGGACTGCATAATAGCCCAACAATGATAGTTTCATATCACAGACAACTACTATAGACATTTTTACAAGTTATCATTTATCAAAGATAAAAATAAAAATGGGTATATACCAACATACGACAAAAAAAAAAAAAAAACCTGCTGACTACACCTCCAAATTTTGCAAGCACTTAATATGGTTATAGACTCCAGACCACAAACCCAAACAGATTGTCTAGAGAACATTCTATTTTGTATATAAAGTTTTTGCCAACAGAGTGATAAAATGGAGAGAATATGTGGATTTCACCTCTTAAAGTCTCAAGGCGAAAAGAAAATTGATGTGAACTGTCTACAAACTACAGAGGTCAGGGGATTTAAACATTACCAGTCCACTTTTCCTCTAGCCTTGTTAATAATCAACTCATACAAACTGTGTTGCTGAAATTCCATTAATCACAACAAAAAATAAATAAATAAATAAACATGCAAGTTAGTGCACATCAACCATTATGGATTAAAAATGTAATTGAAGAGGAACTATAAGATTATCTTACATGAGGAATGATAAAATTTTCTTCACATAAAGCAAATTCTCCATTGAAGTTGTCCAGATCTCACAAAACGTAGGTGCAAGTTGCCGCTGGACAGCCCGAAGAAACTCTCATATAGAAACGCTTTTACTAACTTGAGATACTAAACCTGCAGAATTGCGAAGACAAAAAGGTTAAGAAGAATAAAAATTAAAAAAAATACTACAAACACAAAGAAGAGAGAGACTAACAAGACACCACAAATATGACCATTTTCCTTGGATCACTAACCTATGCCCCGCCCCATCCCAGTAGCTGCAAGTGATTTCAAGAGGCTCATCCAAAAAGTTATATCAACATAAAATTAGAACCTAAGTAAACATCACCAATTAAACACTTGTTAATTAATTTTTTTTTGTGGATAAATAGTAAATTAATTATCGTTGTACCCCATATATGCAACAAATCAACTCTTGGGCTCTATTCACATCTAAAGAGCATGTGTTCCACAACCTCATTAATATTATACACACATTTGACATGTGGGGTATTTTAAGCATTTTTGAACAAGGTTGCTAGTGTTGGCAAAGAATTCCAACATGCCCACTACTGAGAAAAAAAGGTATAATTTTGGAGGTTCATTTGGATTCAATATAAAAGACCACAAGTGTTGTAGTACTAAATAGGAAAATACAGAAATTGATAGATTTCTAAAAATATTTGGAATTCTAAATAGAGAAGATTGATAGCCTTGATATTGGAAGACAGACTTGATAAACCATGACACACACCTACAAGCATAACAACTCAAATAAACCATCCTACACACCATAATCTACATACACTATGGATTAACTAAAATGAGCAGGTAGTGGATAAATACCTAGGACACAAGTTTTGGCAAATGTGATTCTTAATGATAGCGCTAATAGTCTACTGGGGCCTCTTCACTGAGGATATATAAAGAATAATATATGATCATAAACATGAATGTTACAAATGATTACAAATTATAACAAAAATGACAATCTGTAGTTTTAATTCCAACTTACTGTTTGCCTGAAACATTTGGGAGATAAATCCCACTGTTGGTGGTTTATTCGGGTAGTCCTCTATAAATTGAAGTGTCAACTTGAAAGTACCTGGAAGCAAACAATATATATTAGTATAATGTTAAATACAAATGAGGACCAAGGGGAGGGGATGGGTGTTTGAAAGGCAGACAAAGAATAGAAAAAAGTCCATGTTGGGCCATGCCTGAACTACTTCTGCAAGCTTTTCCATTGGAAGCACATTTTAGTGTACCACATGCCACAACCAAGTACAGATTGCCCACATAGATTAATTTCATGTCAACTGTGTAATAGGGTGATATCTTACAAATTTTACTTGAGATAAACATTAAGAAAAAGGAAGATACATTGCTATTGGTGCAACCGAACACTCACACAAGCATTATTACTGCATGTGCCAATGAATGTTCCGGTATTTGGTCCAGAATTGTAAGAATGGTGAAAGAAGTCCCCTCTATATAGAAAGGCCACACTAGTTCAAGATTTATAGAAAGCAATTTGGTATAAGGAATGATAATCACAACCACCCAAAAAAAAAAGGAAAGAGAACAAATCATAACAGGCGGAAAAATGTATATTCCCAAGAATGCAAGTCGTTTATTAATATTGCAATAGGGTTTTCACATCCTTATTCTTCTAGTGTAGGTTAGGCATATGATCAACATATAAAAAAAATCCCAATGAATTGCATCAATCAACATTCTCTTTGAATAATAAAACTGCAATTTGAAAATAGTCTCACCTTCGTCCAAGGAGTATCCTTGGGACTGCAGGGAACAAGAATTTCAAAGTCAGTGGAACCAATAAGAAACCACAATTACTCATAAAGCACGTCGCATATAAACTATCATATATATATGTCCTCGTTTAGTGCAGTCCCAACTTTCTCAATGTTCTGTTTAAGACAAACAAACATCATCATTAACAGAGCCAAGTTTAATCAGAATGGTCCACAAAAGTTGGAAACTTCATAAGGTATTATGACATTTGCCCTTAAGAACTAAGGCCAAAAAATAAATAAATTGTGAATTGCTAAAAAGAGCTGCGCCTAAGTTGATAACAGTTGGAAAAACAACCGGAAAACTATGTCATCGTCGTTTTAACAAACAGAAGGTAAATCGCCAAATAAATTGCATCGGCAATTTTACATCATAGTTGGAGATGAAGTAGAGATCAATTAAAAAAAAACAAATGCTTTCCATACTTGACACTTGACAGTAAACACGAGGTATCTATATAAGAAACCATAAAAAGAAATAATTGTTACTTGTGATTTGCCTTGCCTTGTGAAGCTAGCCTCAACAGAAACAACGCAACCCTATGACGGAGATATGTAATCATTTTGGGTTCCCGAGTCTCAACGTGGCCGAGAATATGTCGGGTATCCCTCCCTCCTCTCTCTCTATCAATGTGTGTATATATATATATATATATTTATATTTGTGTGTGACTTCCGACGAAAAAATTGATCTCTTTGCATTCATGTGTAAAGGATAAATACAATAGTTGATTCCGAAAAGGTCGATTTTGATAGTGAAATGTTGAAATTGCTGGGTATTAACAACTATGGAGATTTTTGTTTGAAAATCAATGAGAGAAGATCGTAATCGTAATAAGGTTATTCGGGACGATAGGAGGCAGTGGAGAACTGAAGGGCTTAGATGGAGAAGGTGAACAAAGGGTTGTTAATTGACGATTTGTCAGTTCACAGGGGAGAGGGAGAGAGTGAGGGATGGAGTAATTGATGGAAATGGATGGTTTCCGTTGAGGTGCTGGGCAATTTTGAAGAGAGAGAGCAACGGTTGGGAAAAGGAGAGAGACAGAGAAGCAAAAAGACGGGTGAGAATTGTGAAGACATAAGGGGGGAGAGAGAGGACGGCTGAAAAAAGAGACAACGGGAGAGAGGTAACTAGGGTTTGTCAGCCATTTAATATGATGAATACGAAGGACAGTGACATTTTTGGAGGGTAAAGGTCAAAAAAAAAAATATTTATTTTTTTCTTATCTNGATACGAAGGACATAGTGACATTTTTGGAGGGTAAAGGTCAAAAAAAAAAATATTTATTTTTTTCTTATCTTGACTTGTTAAAAATTGTATAGATATAGATATGAAGTGTAATTGTCTTTTTATATTCTGAATCTGTCAACCGTCATTCGAAATTCACTCTCCCATGAGTTTGATGAAACACATGATTTAGGGTTTAAGGTCCGGGTTAATAGTAAATTGGATTTGGTGTTCAAAATTTTAGCCAACACATGAATTTTGTGTATTATTTAAACTATTTTTTTCTAACTCATATTCCAAAATCCTCCAATCCTACTTACCAAATAGCCCGTTAATAATTGTATATTTCATTGATTCCAATGTAGACATATTGGTCAAAAATAAAACATTATTTGTCAAAACAAATGATAATTTTGACATAACTTTGGTCTGATAACATAGTTTTTTACTAAATTTTGTATTTTTGTGACACGATATTTGCCGATAATTATGATTGGTTAGGATGACAAAAATGATAAAATATAAAGTAAAATAAATAAAATACATTTTTATGCATACATTTGGTTAGCATGAGAAAAATACAAANAATAAAGTAAAATAAATAAAATATATTTTTATGCATACATTTGGTTAGAATGAAAAAAATACAAATTTTTTTTAAAAAAAAATTATTATATTGTTTAAAAGAATCAAAAGCCATAAGATTTTTTAATTTTCTAAATTACCTTTAATTATATTAAATCAATTAAAAAAATAAATATTATAATTAAAAGCTTAAGAACTTTTAAAAAATGGCTCTTTGTCTTTGATCAAACTAGAGAGAAAATAAATCAAAATATACATAAACTAACCTGACTATTCTAACCGTCGAGAAAAAAGAGAAAAAAAGAAAGACCATAACACCACAAAGTGCTGCCAAGAAGGAGGAGCTATGAACAAAATGAATTCAGGGTATATCTTCAACAATCATTATGAACCTGAATGATTAAGTTTGAATTCACATCTTCTCTACCATCATAAACAAAAGAATTCAAACTTTCAGTAAAGGAGAACTAGGACCACATACAAATGACTAATAAGAATATGGCAATTGGAGCAGTTGAGAGCCTCCAACACCTCACTATTATCTGCCTAATACCAAATAAAGCTTTACAATGATAATAATGTCACCACAAGGATGCTTTTTTTCTTACAAATAACAAAAACCAATTGGCAATCATCCAAACAGCCCCAAGATAAAATTACAAGAATTTCAGTTTCTTCTCCTCCACTGGCGAGTGACAGGCATTAAAGGCATGGTTTGAATGGAAGACATTCACATTATCGTGCAATTGCACTTGGACTCCAGCTTTGGAGGCTTCATATTGTCGCCCTTATTGGGAACCCCGACAATACGTGTTGCAGATACATCTGTTTTATCATCGCCCACAGTATTGGTAGGAGGTTTTGTGTCTGTTTCGACCCGCCTCTGCCTAGTTTTCTGGGACCTAGAAGTATGCTTCTGAACAGTTCTGCCACGTGGCTCCATTCTATTAGAGATTGAATTTCCCAATATAGTAGCAGTCGGTCGGGAATTTTCCAATGGAACTGAGTTTTCCTTTTCCATTGCTATGGTTGCAGCCTCATGTGCCAGGTTCTGAACGATAGAACTGCAGAAGAGTATTGTATCAGTTGCTTCCTCTAGCGTCAGGTTTCTAGTGGTTCCTCCTTGGCTCCCTATTGATACAGTTCCTTCATCTGTCAAAACAAGGAGATTTTTTGTGAGTATTTCATGAGATATTCACATGATCTCATATTTGGATTCATGCAACTATGTGCAAAATGATATTTGACCAGTTTCATGACCTGAGTAAAAGCTCCTATCTCGATTGGCAATCTAACTACCAATTTGGTAACTGTGTTCTGAAATATAAGCCCAGTGCTAAGATAAGTTTAATGGTCACATGATGTGAAACAAATAAAAAAAAAAACAAACGCTATTTTTGTGAAGTCGATAAGAATTCACTGAAATATCCATAAATTCCATTCAAAGCTCCCTGGTATTATATTAGTGCAAAAGAAGTAAAAAATGTAAGAAAAAAGATGTACATGTCAGTCAGTGAGGCGTTTTGGCATCAAGGCCAAGAAAAAGGACAGGCATATTAAGCTAAACCACAAATACTTGTTGATGCATCGCATAGGAGACTGAATATCTGACACAATTAAATCCACAAAAGCTGAGAAACTAATAAAAACCTCAGTTCTACAAGAACCAAAACAAAATCTATTCTCTACATCATAATTAGGGANTATAAAGTAAAATAAATAAAATACATTTTTATGCATACATTTGGTTAGCATGAGAAAAATACAAATTTTTTTTAAAAAAAATTTATTATATTGTTTAAAAGAAACAAAAGCCATAAGATTTTTTAATTTTCTAAATTACCTTTAATTATATAAAATCAATTAAAAAAATAAATATTATAATTAAAAGCTTAAGAACTTTTAAAAAATGGCTCTTTGTCTTTAATCAAACTAGAGAGAAAATAAATCAAAATATACATAAACTAACCTGGCTATTATAACCGTCGAGAAAAAAGAGAAAAAAAGAAAGACCATAACACCACAAAGTGCTGCCAAGAAGGAGCTATGAACAAAATGAATTCAGGGTATATCTTCAACAATCATTATGAACCTGAATGATTAAGTTTGAATTCACATCTTCTCTACCATCATAAACAAAAGAATTCAAACTTTCAGTAAAGGAGAACTAGGACCACATACAAATGACTAATAAGAATATGGCAATTGGAGCAGTTGAGAGCCTCCAACACCTCACTATTATCTGCCTAATACCAAATAAAGCTTTACAATGATAATAATGTCACCACAAGGATGCTTTTTTTCTTACAAATAACAAAAACCAATTGGCAATCATCCAAACAGCCCCAAGATAAAATTACAAGAATTTCAGTTTCTTCTCCTCCACTGGCGAGTGACAGGCATTAAAGGCATGGTTTGAATGGAAGACATTCACATTATCGTGCAATTGCACTTGGACTCCAGCTTTGGAGGCTTCATATTGTCGCCCTTATTGGGAACCCCGACAATACGTGTTGCAGATACATCTGTTTTATCATCGCCCACAGTATTGGTAGGAGGTTTTGTGTCTGTTTCGACCCGCCTCTGCCTAGTTTTCTGGGACCTAGAAGTATGCTTCTGAACAGTTCTGCCACGTGGCTCCATTCTATTAGAGATTGAATTTCCCAATATAGTAGCAGTCGGTCGGAAATTTTCCAATGGAACTGAGTTTTCCTTTTCCATTGCTATGGTTGCAGCCTCATGTGCCAGGTTCTGAACGATAGAACTGCAGAAGAGTATTGTATCAGTTGCTTCCTCTAGCGTCAGGTTTCTAGTGGTTCCTCCTTGGCTCCCTATTGATACAGTTCCTTCATCTGTCAAAACAAGGAGATTTTTTGTGAGTATTTCATGAGATATTCACATGATCTCATATTTGGATTCATGCAACTATGTGCAAAATGATATTTGACCAGTTTCATGACCTGAGTAAAAGCTCCTATCTCGATTGGCAATCTAACTACCAATTTGGTAACTGTGTTCTGAAATATAAGCCCAGTGCTAAGATAAGTTTAATGGTCACATGATGTGAAACAAATAAAAAAAAAAACAAACGCTATTTTTGTGAAGTCGATAAGAATTCACTGAAATATCCATAAATTCCATTCAAAGCTCCCTGGTATTATATTAGTGCAAAAGAAGTAAAAAATGTAAGAAAAAAGATGTACATGTCAGTCAGTGAGGCGTTTTGGCATCAAGGCCAAGAAAAAGGACAGGCATATTAAGCTAAACCACAAATACTTGTTGATGCATCGCATAGGAGACTGAATATCTGACACAATTAAATCCACAAAAGCTGAGAAACTAATAAAAACCTCAGTTCTACAAGAACCAAAACAAAATCTATTCTCTACATCATAATTAGGGAAAGCTATATAACTAACAAACATTTCCTATTCTCTCCCATTGCCATCAAAAGTTGACTAATACAGATTGGAGGACTAAAAGAGAGCCAAGTATTTTGGCAAAAGAAAAAGAATATCAGTCATTTACTCTTACTATATCTACATCTAGATCTTTCAAGCTAGGAAGCATGGACACGTCATTTTGGGCAGGGTGTCGGTGTTGGACACTTTTAGGACACGGACACGCTCGGACACATGTCAGACACGTNGAAAAGAATATCAGTCATTTACTCTTACTATATCTACATCTAGATCTTTCAAGCTAGGAAGCATGGACACGTCATTTTGGGCAGAGTGTCGGTGTTGGACACTTTTAGGACACGGACACGCTCGGACACATGTCAGACACGTTAAAATGAGTGTCCAATTGTTTTATTGTTAAAATGAGTGTCGGTGTCGGACACGTTGGAGGACACATTTTGAGATTTATTTTCAAATTTTTGAGAACTTTTTAGATAATTTTATAATTAAGAGTTATTTTTATAATTTTAAAAGGATATGAGTCACAATCATAATGTAAAAAAAAGTTATAATCATTACATTAACTATAGAACATAAATGTAACATAATTTTGAATACGAATACGAACTTATATACAAATAGATTTAACTTTTAAATATGAAAGTAATGTGAGAAAAAATAGGACTCTTGAAAATAAATAAAAATTAGTGTTATGAAGTAGAATATTTTTGAAAATAAAAGTTATAGTAGTCATTGATTGTTGGATCATGAATGTTAAAGTTGAATGCATATCAATATATCTTATATTGTACTTTTTGCACAGTGATATCCTGATTTGAATTTTTAGAATTAGGAAAATTATGATTAAAAGATTATTATGACAATATTTTTAATTTCTCACATGATTTTATATATACATATTATTTAACGTATTGCCAACATATCCATGTCCTACCTTTTTAAAAAATTTTGTGTCAACATATCCGTGTCGTGTCGTATCCGTGTTATTAACTTTCGAGTATCCTGGCTCCAATTGGGAGGCACAACAATGATATATCCCTATTTCAAGTTTGAGAAGAATAGTTGAAGTCCCTAATATAGTTCAGCAATAACCTCATGCCTAACTGCTTTCCACATGAAAATGCATACACGGACACAGGCCAAAGTAACATGCTGATCAAGCAGGTAGTCGTTGGATATGGTGCACTAATCACGTATACATCAATTGAAAAGCACAACCAGCAAACCAATGACATGAACCCCGAGATGATATATTTAATGCCTCTTGCTGTTTCCTTTTTTTTTTTATGTAGGAAAGTGGTAGTGTTGGGAGGGGGAGAGACAGAGAGAGAAAAACTAGTAGGGGTTGGGGATAAAAGGTTAAGCATAAGTTAGCACCGGTAATGCTGCAACATATACGTACCAAGGATGCCGTGTGCATGATCTGAGGCGTCAAACTCTGAAATCAAAGCTGTTATGTCCTTATCCAATGCAGTAGGAACAGAAGGTTCCGGCAATTCATCTACGCTGATCTTTGAATTTAAAGAAATAACATCAGATTGTGAACCAGAAGAACCCCGATAACCATTCTCAATTCCTATTTCCAATATTGTATCTAACGAGCTCCGAGTGAGATCCTCTGCAACATCCACCCTCTCAACACACAAATTGACCACAGCATCTTCCTCAACTGCAGGAGACTCTAATGCCATACCTGATGTTTCCATATCTGAGACGTTCTTTGTATTGTTTATCAAGTCATCATCATGGTCATTTGAAACAGCCTCTTCAAAATTTGGAAATTTGCTTTCAATACACTTACTCTTAATATCGATGCATGTTTCAACCATTTCTGTTTTTTCTGAAACCATAAATTCTTCGTCAAGAGCTACACGTCTGACATCTAAATCATCTTCTTCCACAAGGGCAACAGATGCCTCAGTACTTCCTTCATGTGTGCTTGTGGCAAGACCTAAAGCATTCAATGCGTGACTTGGAGTTCCAGACAAAGATGATCCAGTGCGTTGGTGCTTTGTGTTCACATCATATCTGTAGTTTTCTTTTTCAGATTTCCTGCCACTTAGCTGCCACTTAACAGGAGTCTCCGTTNGATGCCTCAGTACTTCCTTCATGTGTGCTTGTGGCAAGACCTAAAGCATTCAACGCGTGACTTGGAGTTCCAGACAAAGATGATCCAGTGCGTTGGTGCTTTGTGTTCACATCATATCTATAGTTTTCTTTTTCAGATTTCCTGCCACTTAGCTGCCACTTAACAGGAGTCTCCGTTTGTCTAGCCGAGCCCAAGTCCACAGAAGATGATGCAGACATACTACCAAGTCCAACAGAGCTCATCATGCTGTTTGCACTGTCTCTCACATAAGATAAATCGTCATAAGAAATGCTAGAGGCAGAAAAACTTCTGCTTTGGACATTAGTTCGCTTTCCACTATACGATCTCTTCAGCACTACAGCAATACCTGCTCCTTCAGCTACTCCAACCTTCAAGTTTGGATGGTCACTGAAAAGCCGTATATGTTGAACCCTAGCATCACCATCGGGTATGCTATTCCCAACAGTCAGTTGACCCATCACTTGCTGGTTGGCGAGCCTCTGCTCAACTTCCTCCACAGATGGTTGAGCAAGATCATTTTCTGACAAGGAATTCCAGCTTGCCTCACTATAGGATTTCTGGTCTGTCTTGGAAAACTTTTCCTCTGGACCGTCCCTAGGCTCACCCATAGTAGTGACTTGGGGAGACTCAGGTGCTCCAACCGGGAGCTCCACTGAATCAAATGATTCATGTTCTTCTGAAACTTTTGTATACACCATTGGAGAGTTCTCTGCAACTGTCATGGCTGTCACTGAAGTGTTTATATCCAAATGTACATCCGACCTTCTGCAGTCTGGGCAAAGATGTAAGTCCCCTTCTAGTGATTGCTTGGCAAAGTACTTGCATCCACATTTAAAACAAAGTAGCATATCCCTAAGACCATCAACTTCTTCAAAATCACTTTTGACATCCAAATCTTCAGAAGTCACAGTGATTGCCATAATGGTGTCATGGTTGGTGAAATTTTCCGAGCCACCTGGTTGAGAATCAACTCTAAGGCCTTCATCACATTCACTGCTACGCAATCCAGCAATGATTCCATCTCCATTATCTTCATTTGCTGCATCACCTTTGTCAAAGACAAATATTTCATCCTGAACATCAGGATGCTGCGCCTTCACAAATTCGCTTGTTACATCCTCCTGATTTTGGTCACTGCCTTCAGTATCACGTGCACCACTTGTAGCTTGATCAGAACTTGCATTGCTGCTACTAGTGACCGAAGAATTTCTAGATATGATAGCACGATGTCCAGCACTTGCTTTTCCAACATAGAAGGTTGAACTGGGGACACTGGATAAGAGTGGCCTGAACATATTCTGAGGCCCTTTCCGTTGATCCTACACAAAAAGATTCAACAGCAATTATTCCTTCAGAATTGGCAATATTTCAAGAAATTAGAACTTATGTGTTAGACAATTGTGTTACACAAAAATAGGACTGATTCTGCTAGAACACTCCTAAGTTTGTTTCCCCTATTGGTATCAAACATTAAATTCCCCAGTCAATATGGTTACACTTGAAATGGAACATCTATTAAGCTGTCAAACAAATAGCACAGGTTACAGTATTAATCGCTAATAAAAATTAAGAACATCAGCTCTAAGACGCAGGGTCGTAAAAATCTAATATTTCCAAATTATGCATAACATTTTTTGGAATTTTTAGCTAAAAATTGAGTCTAACACGAACTCCACCCCACCATGCCCCTTTACCACCTGATAAATTTGACAACTCTTGTCAAACAAAATGATCTTGTACCCTTGACTGTTTCACAGACACTTGTAACAATCGAACAAAAAATATAAACCATGATAGCGAAAAAATGCCAAATTATGTACCACAGTAAAGCAAACATTGAACATAAAATATAAATCATGATAGTGAAAACATGCCAAATTATGTACCACAGTAAAAGTTGTGAAGAAAGGTGAAGTTGAATTGAAACCAAAAGCGTTCTTGTACTTTTATGTACACATTCATCCATTGTAGCGCCATGAAAAAAGTGCTTTTATGGAATATATAAGGACACGGTGGGAATACAAGTACAATTCTTATTGGCTTTCTCAAAACCAAGACAAATATATACATGACAATGAAGACTAACCTATTTTGCAACACTGATATAGAAGCGAACCAATAAATGTGCAGTACTTAATTTAAATTTAAACTTTATAAGGAACTATAATTGGAGTGTGGAACTCAAACAGTTATATAAACACCAAACAAAACATAATCTGATGATAATTCAACCAAAGCNATAGAAGCGAACCAATAAATGTGCAGTACTTAATTTAAATTTAAACTTTATAAGGAACTATAATTGGAGTGTGGAAGTCAAACAGTTATATAAACACCAAACAAAACATAATCTGATGATAATTCAACCAAAGCCAGCCAAACTTGTTTGCTTTACTTATTCACATTATTTAGGCAGCTAAAAAATCAGTTCTAACTGCTCTGAGTGATCGAACTCGCTGTATTTATATTCCCTCAAAAACCATTTAAGGAAAGAAAAAGCAAANGCCAGCCAAACTTGTTTGCTTTACTTATTCACATTATTTAGGCAGCTAAAAAATCAGTTCTAACTGCTCCGAGTGATCGAACTCGCTGTATTTATATTCCCTCAAAAACCATTTAAGGAAAGAAAAAGCAAAGTAATATAGAAAATTATACATGTCGTGCACATAAGAATTATTGGTTATTTCTCGTATTTGTATGGTGATATCCCCCATATTATCCATTTGCATCACATGATAAATCTTAATTTGAGCAACATATTGATTATGTAGTTTTATATCCTTTCTTGGCCAGGCATAGTAACTATTTATAGAAGTTTATTTTCCAATTTGTCTAATTGTTTGGGGGAAAATTTTGCAGTTTGATGAACAATACAGTTTTTTTCTATGTCAACAGTAAGAAAGTTGGCAAACTAATATAGTAAGAGCCAAAAACAACTTATTAATCAAATCTATGAAGCACAGACACTCTTAAAAAGGTGATGTATCTGTGTTGGACACATGTCAGACACCGACACTCCTCGGACACTCTCAGGCACATCTCAAATACTTTTTTATCTGTGTCCATAATTAAATAAAAATATTTTAATTTCAGACACGTGTCTGACATTTCTTCGGTGACCTGTCTGATACTNAAATAAAAATATTTTAATTTCAGACACGTGTCTGACATTTCTTCGGTGACCTGTCCGATACTTCTTTTAAACTGTGTCTACTATTAAACAATAAACATGTGATTAACAAGCTTAAAATTTGACTAATAAGTATCTTATACTATAAGAGAACATACAATTAGCAAAACTAAAAAAGTTAAAGTTGTCCTCAAAATATAATAACACAATCAAATGATAAATAAAAGATTTAGAACTAAAGCAATTGAGAATATGAGAACAATCATTTAAATTATATATGTTTGGTACACGTCTACGAAAAATTGATAATTATTGACTATTATGAAGTCTAAACATTTACGCTAGATGACTAACCATAATATTTACTATCATAAAATATTGATTTTTTTATGAATAATATGTCATTATCACTATAATTGTGATAAATTATATAATTTTAGATATAAAACACAATTATCTGTAATATGTCTCCAACGAGTCCATGTCTTATTTTTTTGAGAAATGTCGAGTTTGTGTATCCATTTAGTGTCGTATCCGTGTTTCGTGTCTCGTTTCTGTGTCCGTGTCCGCGTCCGTCTGTGTCCGTGTCCGTACTTCTTAGAATTAGATCAAAGAAACCTAAGGAATANCTGTGTATCCATTTAGTGTCGTATCCGTGTTTTGTGTCTCGTTTCTGTGTCCGTGTCCGCATCCGTCTGTGTCCGTGTCCGTACTTCTTAGAATTAGATCAAAGAAACCTAAGGAATATGTAAGTTGCTAAATATTAAGGTCTTAGGGGCACAACACACTTCATCTTTATTGTTTCTCCCAAGTTTCCAATTATTCTCATAAACCATCAACAGATGAGATGGGATGACTGAAATATGACTCTTGATTATGATACCACAAGTGGTAGCACCAGGAAGCAAACAATGGACAACTCAAATTAGATTAGCACTTTCTTAGACGTTCTTGGGTTGAAAAATGATCACAGTTGGAGGCACACTCCACATTTTTTCTTCCACTGATGGTATACCTCAGGCAGGAAGGAGCAACCCATTGCAATCATATCATACGTCTTAGTATTTTGCTTATAAGCATTGACAAGTACTCAATTCGAAGAGATATCCAGAGTTGGTATTGCTAAGATGCCCCTTCATTTTGTACAGATAAAGACCAAAATTGGTGATACCTTTGATATGTCACCAAAAAGTGCTCCATTGATGAAAAAACAAAGGTGTGGAATGCATATATGGCTCAAGATCTATGAAAAGATGCTAACAGTTTGTTTTGGATGTCCCTTGACTTCAAATATTCCCATTGCAGGTCTCATTGCATTGAAGTGGAATTTCCTCACTTACCTCAAAGGTTGTAAATGGATATTCACCACATTTCTGGGTATGCAATTATTGCTAGTTTTCCCAAACTAAAAAGAAATATTCTTAACTTTATTTCCAAGATTGCTGCCCCTTTTTGCTGTGGCTCCAATAAAAGTGAAGATTTCTACCTCGGAATTCCACAAAAATATCAATAGGGCCACTAAATTTTCTTTGAACATCCCAGCAGGCGCAAAACATTTCACCACCCTCCTGTCATTAGTCCTTCCTGCGCAAATTTTGCTAGGAAATATTGAACACACCTACTCTATAATTTACTGGAGAAAAGTTTAAAAAGTAAACTAAAAACATGCAGACCTATTTTTCTATAGTTGTTTCTCAAACACTAATTCTCACGCGCAATAATATAACCATGAAGTGGATATTATCAAAGCTCAAATGAAACTGACAATAAGATACCATTTGTCGTAGTGCTGTATCAAAAGATCTTTTTGGAGCAGAACTTGAGGACACTATCCTGGTTGGCTTCTTGGAGAAGGCCAAAGCTTTATTATTTGAAAATGCCCCCACACCCCTTGAAGCTGAGCGGTCTGAGTTACCCACAGAAATAGACTGTTGGGAGTCTACATCATCATCACCAGATGATGCAACAGAACCTTTACCATGGGAGGAGCTAAGTCGATCCCGGTCATTACTATATGATGAACTGATGCTTCTAGAAGCAGTTGGAGACATTGATTGTCTGCCTGATCTGAAGGATGAATCCCTACCATTTCTTGATGCTGGAGAAGAGCCCCTCACATATGAAGCTGGTCGATCAACAAGCGAAGTACGAAGATTAGGAGGTGCATCTGATGAAAAACCTGGAATATTTGTTTGCCACACCCTTATTTTTGGTGACGCAGAGTTCCCTCTACTTGTCTTCACAGGGGAGGTACCTCTCACCCTAGAAGAGGCCACAGTGCCACTAGAACTTGTGCTAATTCTCTGAGGGGTTGGTGTAGAAGCCCTTGGAGCAGGTGTTGAGGGTTTACTTGGTGGGGATGATAGTTGCCGTGTTGGAGTCGCATGCCGTATACTAGGAGTTGGACTAGAATGAGGTGTTGAAGATGGCCTGCCCCTCGATTGGAAACTTCTACTGCCAGACTGAGGAGATGGACTCAAGCGATTTGGGCTTGCACTACCTCTACTACTTCTTTGACTCTTCTCCCTCTGTAAATAAATAAAGGATTCATTTACCATTGTAACCAAAGCAAGAAGAGGATAAGAAGAATGTGATCAATATCTATTCAGAGACACCTCAAAAAGTAAGTGACTGAAGAATAACTGTACAACCCACTGAAGTAATAAATTGACCTACCGTTGATGATCTTGAGATTGAAATAGGCTGACTTCTAGGTCTACCCCTCTGAGCAAGATTAACTGGTGGTGGCTCATCATCCAAAGAAGGAAAGAGAGGGGTGTCGGGAGGTGTTAATAGCCTTCAATTAAAGAACACCAAAAATTACAATTGAATCCAAACGAAGCAATAGAAATACATTCATTTCTAAACAGATGCTAATCATTAGATTTGGCTCTGAAATCTAGTTCTATGTTGAGAAGTTGCTGACACCATAATTTCTATCTTTGTAGAAGGAAACTTGAATTATAAGCAGAAGAAAATGCTATATTAGAGGTTACATGGAGCAGAAAGCTCCCAAATGAATGCAAAATAAATAGCACATTTTCATTCTCTTTCAATTTTTTCATTTCCTTTTTGGAGAACCATGAAGCTTGTATAAAGTCATAAAACCAGTGGTTAATTTTATCAAAAAAATAAAAATAAAACCAGTGGTTAAATAACATAAATTTAAAAGCACAACAACAACAACAAAAAATAAAACCCACCAGTCATAGTCATTCTTCTCTCCATCTGCATTTAGAAGATCACTACTCTCGCCTCGGGAGGGAATGGAGATTCCTAGCTTATAATCTGAGAAGTATCTCAATTTTGTGGCTGTAAAATGCCAAGGAATGCAAATAAATATTTGTCAGCCAAAGTAAACAAACAAGTAAGATTCACTACTACTCAAACCAAATCTCAAAAATGGATGTCAGTATTGGGACATTACAGAACGTGTCTTCGAAATCATCATTTGACTGAAGCAAGAAATTGTCTCTTTCTCTGCTCTGTACCTCGTTGAACAAAGCAAGATCATCATCCTTTTCTCTGAACAGAATTCCGCTCTCAAGACTGCGCCCCCTCTTGTGACTTTCTGCTCTAAGCTCCCTGCCAGAGGAAACCCTCATTGCTGGTGAAGGGGGCATCTTAACCCCCCCAATAACACCGCACAATTACAATCAATCCAACCCCTCCACGATAGTAGCATTCAAATAGCACACTGCTAAGTCCATGAAACTTGATCACAATAAAGCTTCGGTGTGAAATACAAATGTGACCTCAAAATTTTAGATTGTGCGAGCGATTTAGGATGTTAAGTCTTTTTTGTTATGATAACCACAACGAAACCCCCTCTTCACATTGACATGACGAAAATTAGCGTCCAACCAACTTAATTCCACTATTCTTCCCCTAAATCTGATAGCGACCCAAGACCCTATTTATGCAGCAGAGTTCAGAAACCCAACATTCCAGTGTCACTTCAAATGTGAACAGATATCTAAAATTCCACACTTATACCCACAATTCTTCTACAACCACCTCATAAACCCTAGATAATTTCCAGGTTAAGATCCCAAAAAAGTGACAATTACCCCGAATTAAACCCTGATTCAAGTCAAATTCCACTCTTTTGAAGTTTCAAAGCTCTGTCAAACTTCTAATAACACGTACAGAATCGTCATTTCAAAAAGGAAAAGTCGCAGTTTTTGACTTTCCGTCGGTGAAGTCAACAGTCTTCAAAGCACCTACTCCACACTCGTCAACACCTCGAATTAAGAGCAATTACAAGTACAGATGAGTTTGAAACTGAATTAAAGCAACGAGAATTGAAACAGTATCTGAGATCTGCTGGCATTGAATGGAATGAAGCGTAGATCGGGAATGCAGAGTCGGTGGACCTAATTGCAGAGAACCAACAAAAGCATTCTCTTCTTCACGTGACTGATGGATTGTAGAGAAAGAAAGAAAGAAATGAATGGAGAGTAATGGCAGCAACAACAGCCAAAACCTTTTTGGTTCAGAGATTGCTTCTTTCCTCCTCCTCACCAAGCTCTCTCATTTTTTCTCAGTTTCTCTCTGCTGTGCGATATTTCCTTCCTTTTTTTTTTTTTCCNATAATGGCAGCAACAACAGCCAAAACCTTTTTGGTTCAGAGATTGCTTCTTTCCTCCTCACCAAGCTCTCTCATTTTTTCTCAGTTTCCCTCTGCTGTGCGATATTTCCTTCCTTTTTTTTTTTTTTCCCTTTTTCTTTTTCTTTTGGGCGAATTTCACTTTGCCCCGGTAGATTTAAGAATTTTTACTTTGTACCCCAAAAGATAAAAATTTTCATATTATATCTTTAATTTGTTAAAAGTGTTGTAATATGGTCCTTCTATTAACTTTGTTATTTTTTTCGTCAAAAACTTTCCCATTGAAACTAACGAAAAAAATAATGGTGTTTGTTTTAAATTTTTAGGGTACAAAGTATGATTCTTCCTTTTNATCCTTCTATTAACTTTGTTATTTTTTTCGTCAAAAACTTTCCCATTGAAACTAACGAAAAAATAATGGTGTTTGTTTTAAATTTTTAGGGTACAAAGTATGATTCTTCCTTTTAATTTTTTTTTCTTTTTTATGTTTCCCACTTATCTCCCTTGTTAAATTTATGGTAAATCTCATAAATATACCCAGAATTATGGTGTTTGTTTTAAATTANTTAATTTTTTTTTCTTTTTTATGTTTCCCACTTATCTCCCTTGTTAAATTTATGGTAAATCTCATAAATATACCCAGAATTATGGTGTTTGTTTTAAATTATTCTCTTAATTTTTTAATTGTTTCAATTTATCTCTTAAATTATATAATTTATTTTCATTGACCTTTTTCTTTAAGATTAATTGATCAATAAGACAAATTAACAGTTAATTTTAATGAAATAAGTAATGTTATTGGAACTTAAAAATCTAATATAATCTGCTGACCTAATATTGTGACTTCATTATACCCGTTTGATTAACACCAGGTTTTAATATTTGATAGAACCATAATTAATCTCATGACTATAGTAAATTAGGTTAATAAATTAGACTCAATTGCACTCTCCTAATGAAATATTTCTCATTTAAGAATTAATATTAGTGAAATTTGCTTTGTTAATCAATTATTCTTAACCGAAGAGGTTGATTGAAATAAATAACATAGTTCACGAGTAAATTGAGACAATTGAAAATATTATGGTTGTTTTAAAATAAAAGTCGTAGTTGAGGGGGCATTTATTCTTAACAGAAGGGGTCAGTTGAAATAAATTATATAGTTTAGGGATAAATTAAAATAATTAAAAATTTAGTAGGCAATCTCGAACAAATATAATAGTTTAGAGGATATTTATGAAATTTATTTTTTTGTTTTTTTATGGGTTTTTCTTGTTCTTGTGTCACTTTATTACAATGCTGCCACTGAGGTTTCCATCTTATCTTTCTCAATCTAAATAAGGCATGCTGTCATTAATGATTTAGAATGTTATATCACAGTTAGGACTGTGTCCGAATTTATCTCTAAACAATAATTGAATACAACATTGATAAAGTAAGTAAATACTTCAAAATTATCGAAAAGAAAAAACATCAATAGATCAGATGGAAGTTCGTCAAAATGATAATAACTCAGTTTTTCCTAGCTCAAAATCTCGCTAATTTAATATGCAAAAATTGAGAGTGATACGGGTTTAAGCTCGTCTTCAAGTTCAATTTGATGTGATGATCCTCCAATTGTTATTTGAATGATGAGGATTTGTTCACACAATTTTGAACAAACAGACTTGAAGATATTTTTTCAAATTATACAATATTTTTATGTTCCGTTTGATAGCAAACATGAAAAGCAAGAGAGATTAAAAGTATAAGGGATACATTTTCTGTTCTCTAATGCTCCGTTTGATAGGGAGGATGAAAAGTAGGAGGAATACACTTTTTATTTTTCAAGGATGAAAAATAGGAAGGAAACACNTTTGATAGGGAGGATGAAAAGTAGGAGGAATACACTTTTTATTTTTCAAGGATGAAAAATAGGAAGGAAACACTTTCCTTCCTTTGTGTTTAGTTGGATGGATAAAAAATAAAAATAACTATTTTTTTTTGTTGACTAAAATTAGGGGTGACAATCGAGTCGTATCGTATCAGATTCGTGTTGAGTCATTATGAGTTTGTGTCGAATATTTGNATAACTATTTTTTTTTTTGTTGACTAAAATTAGGGGTGACAATCGAGTCGTATCGTATCAGATTCGTGTTGAGTCATTATGGGTTTGTGTCGAATATTTGTCAAACTTAACTTAACTCATTTAACTAATTGTGTCGTGTCGAGTTGCGAGTTGACATGTTTATTTTTGTATCGAGTTCGAATCATGTTATCGTGTTGAGTCGAAAATTTTCATCTTAGTTAAGATGGAATTTTTTTTTTTTTTAATTTAAAATTTTTATCTTTATTTTTTTAATTGTTTTTAAATATATATATTTTTTAATTGCATTTTTATATGAAATTAATGTATACATAATATATGTATATATAAAAAAATATATAGACAAATAAGATACATTTCAACACAAATAATTAACTTTCTATCCATTTTCCTTCCGATTTTGGAGGGATTGATTTTGGTGAGTTGGAAGGAAAGTTAATTCATTCACTTTTCCATTCTTCCCACTTTCCTTCCTTACCAAACATAATGTTTTATTTATCTATTCAACTTTCCATCCTTCCACTTTTTCATCGTACCAAACGGAGTATAAAGAAAAAAAAGTATAAATGATACACTTTCATTACTTTATATTTGATAGGATGAATGAAAAATAAAAATAATTAATTTTTTTTTGTGCTTTGTAAAATGGAAAAAATATATATACATATTTTTTAAAATTTTGAATTTTGAATTTTTTTAAAAAGTATAAATATATATTTTATCATTATATGTATATATCAAATTAATATATACATAATATGTAATTGATATATATATATATATATATTAAATGATATATAGACAAATAAGATGTATTTTAACACAAATAATTAATTTTTCATCAACTTTCCTTCAAATTTTGGAAGGATTGATTTTAGTGAGTTGAAAGAAAAATTCATTCATCTATTTTTTCATCTTTCCTATTTTTTTTTATTACCGAACATAATATTTTATCTACCCCTACAATTTTACATCTTTTTATTTTTTCATCGTACTAAACAGAACCTTACAAACATGAAAATATCCTCATCATTGAAAAATAATTTGAGGATCATTGGATTACTAAAAACTTGCTCTAAGCCGTGGTGTCTGAGGTCAATTAGTGGCATTAAAATAATATTTCATTAGTTATCTTAATTCGAATGAGAAAATTAAGTTTTTTTTTTGTTTTTTGGGAATTTGGTGACCTTAAAAGACGACGTTAATTTTGTTGTAATGTTATCATTAGCATGGTCCACTAAAGCAATTATTAAATCATGTAATTTTAATGTATAGGAGAGAAGATTGTTGGTTGTTTTGGATAATTCAATAATATTTGGTTATCCATCCTATGATCTTAATGTATTTAACAAGAAAACAAAAATAATAATAAATAAAACAATATTTTAATGAGGCATAAAACATAATTGAACAACGGGAACATTAAAAATTATAGTCAAACTACTACGACATTTTCTTTACTCGTAACAATGGATTGTTATTACAATGAAATTTAAATAAATCACTATAAAAATTGTACGAGTTAGAGATATAACGAAATTAAAAAAAGAGTGTTCAACTAATTTACCCATATATATGTAACATACATGTTCACTAGTGGAATAAAGTTAATTTTCAATTTTGACTCCTTTTATAAAAAAAAATTAAGTTTAATTTGTTTATTAAATGGATGAACTTAAATTATTTTCTATACAAGTCTATTTCAAGTTGTTCGTGAATAATCCATGTTAGTTGATTGGTTTTCTTTTCCTAGTACATGTGTTTGACAAAAATCAAACACATTTTTATTTTAATTTTTTTTTCTATTGGATCTTTTATAAAGGTGTTATTATCAATGTCAACAAAGACCTAAAATTTTCTAAAAATAGTAATGTACCTTTTTTAAGGCTTTCTAGATGTCACGGGGTTAAATTTCTCACTCAAATTTC